TTGAACATGTCTTGTATCCACAAGAGGTCACCACTCCGGCTCACACAGACATCTCACTTTGAAAGGGGCCACATGGTGTGGGAGAGAGGGCACAGCTAATTGCGGGGAGAGGACTCACGGTGTGACAGGACAGGAAACAAGGAGGGAATGACAATTAGTGTGATCCAGAGGCCAACTGCTTGAGGTACCTATAATAAACAGTTGCCCAGCTCTAATGAATCAGAAATGCTGCTGCTAATTAACCCAGGTTTTCACACAAGACTTCTGCTATAAAAAATAATAATAATTCTTAAAAATGCACAGTTGTTGATCTCTTACAGAAGACAGACAGTACTGTCAGGTGGGGATTTATGAACCATAAAACGCATCCGTCACTGATGGTGGTGAAACTGTCTCTTTTGTGTTTGGGGATATGTGGATGTTTAAGTTTCAGGGCTCAGCTTCAACTCTTGACATTGGCCTGAGACCAGTTGTCAGGTATGAGGCTGAGCATAGCAGTCACTACCCGCTGAAAGCAGGAAAACAGAATGCCGCAGGGTATCAGGCTGTTTACCCAGAACCAGCCTTCTCTTTTAACACCTAAATTTGTCTTGTTGGGAAAGACAAAAAAAAAATTGCAAAGGAAACCAAGAGCAAAATCAGCAGGAAAGTGAAAGGTTAGCTGAGGTACTGCCATTTTCTCCCTCGCTCCTCCCCAACACATTCCCTCACTCCTTACTTTAAGAAGAGGGAATGAATGAAAAATCAAATTTGTTTGTGCTCAGAATGGTTATTCAAAAGAATTCAGTGTCTAGGGGTAGGATTTGGGGGAAGAGGTACTAGTGGAAACCATTTTTTTAAAAAAAAATTCTTATGAGTCTATAACATTTCAAAATTAAAAGGTTAAACATAAAAAATATTTTTTAAAGTACAAATGAAAATATCAGTCCCTTCCTCATGTGCCATAAAGTTGAAAAACTGTAAAGACCTCCTGTTGAAATGAGTTCCAGCTTGCTAACATATGTCTCTCTCCTGTATTTGCAAGGTAATTTTTTTAATTTCATGCATTAACAATGCTAGGAAGCTCTTAGTTTCACACCCCATTTTTAGAGACTAAGAATGAGAGAATTGTTTTGATAAACCTGTCTGAATTCCTTTCATGAGTGGAGCTGGGCAGGATTTGAAGTGAGCCAATAACTCTAAAGCTCCTCCATCTGATACTTCACCCTCCCCGCCATTTTCTTGCTGGTCATTCCTGGAAACCTGACTCTCTCTCTGTGTACAATTTGGTCCTCAACATCATGCTTGGTTTTTCCTTTGCATTTTATTTGGGGTTTGTTTACTTACTTGTTTTCTTACTCTGTAATTTTTTGAATTATGACCTGCTCAGGAGCTTCATACTTTTGAAAGAAATACCCAGAAAGAAGAGAAAAAAAACTCAATAAATGGAGAGTGGACCCAAAATATCCCCTTTAGACCCACATGCTGCTCTGTATGCATTGCACGTCCTCTACCCAAAGATGCGTGCATTAATCCATTGGTTCATATAGCTGCTAACCCCATAGCATGTTTTCACAGTACTGGAGAGAGACTTGGGGAAAACCAAAGGAGGTGAGGTGCTGGACACTTGTGGGAGGTAACTCATGTGATCATCACAGCCACACTTCCAAGGATGGGAATGATTCAGTTCCTTGCCCAAAGCCACACATCTGAGCAATAGCACTGGAGAATCGCCGCCAGTTTGCCAAAGTCCAGACACTCCTGGATTGTCCTCTTAAGCCATACTGTGACTCAAGAGTACGGACCCACAGATCGTGAAGGCCAGGAATGGGAAGTAGGGGGGAAGAGGCAAGAACTCATGAAGCAGCTAGACAGAAGATGAACATGGATTCCATCCACTGGTGCAATGTAGGGCAGCCTTGCAAGAAGAGAAAACATAAGCCGGAACATGTAGGTGTCTGGCCTTGGCTCCAGGAGTGTGTAGTCTGACTCTAGCCGTTTCTGTGGCAAGTCCTGTCTACTCCTTTTGCATTCAGACATAGAATCTCCTGGGCCTTGAACGTTCTCTCTTGTGATGCCTTTCTGCATAAGCATCTTCCCTCCTCCATTCTATCCTGCTTCCTTCTTTATTTTTTTTCCTTTCTTTCATCCTATTACTACCTTTTCTCTTTCCCTTTCTATTCTTCTCTGTTGGTCTAGCAAATTCCTATTTATCCCATTACATGTTGGCAACTGTGGAACTGTTTTAGATGACTAGGGGCAAAGGGAAGAGAAAATGAAAATTTTATGTGAACAACACACTGTGAATGTATACAAAGATGTCATAGCAAAACCCACTAAAAATTGCCCAGTAAGAAGAGGTAGGGAAAGAATGAAACAGAAAGTAATTGAAGAGAGTCAATCTCACTAAAGTACAAAATACCATGACAGAACCCCTTTTTAAAATGTATTAACATATAATTTAAAAAATAAATGACAGCTGGACACCAGTGGCTAATATAATCCTAACTACTCAGGAGGCTGAGATCTGAGGATCTCAGTTTGAAGCCACCCCAGACAGGAAAGTCTGTAAGACTTTAATCTATATTTAACCACTCAAAAACCGGAAGTGGCGCTGTGGCACACAGTGGTAGAGAACTAGCCTTTAGCCAAAGAGCTCAGGGACAGCACCCAGGCCCTGAGTTCAAGCCCCACAACCAACAAACATGAAATAAAATAAAATAATGACAAGATGTAAAACATGGCTCTCTGGGGTATGGGTCCTAATGAGGGTAAAGAGGGTAAACAGGATCAAAATGCTGTATACATGGGTGAAAATGAAACCTGCTGAGGCTGAGAGGCCATAGAGTAGACCCTAACCCAATGTGTCTGGTGTCCTTTCATGAAGGGGACAGGTACACACAGAGAGAATGCTGTGTAGAAACAAAGACAGCAACTTCAAGCTTACAAGGGGCTGAAGCTCAGCTTCTCACCACAGCATCCAAAGGGAACCAACCTTGCCTGACACCTGGCCCTTGGCCCTCTGGCTGCTCCAGAGCCTGAAACAAGAAACGTCTGTTCTGTTTCTGTACCCCGTGTGGTGCTTTGTACCCTAAAATGGTGGAGTGGGAGGTCAAAGAGAAAGGAAGAGACAAATGAAGAGAAGGAGAAAGGGAAAATGCAAGCAGGAATCCAATGTATAGCCTACAAAATGAAGAAGAGTGCAGGAAAGGTTGGGGAGGGAGGGATGGGTGAGAATGTTGGCATTCATTGATCAAGATACATTGTATTCAAGAGCTGCTTTGTTAAGTGGCAACTCCTTTGTACTTAGAGATAATAATTTTTTTGAATTAGTAAGCATCTAGACCCAAATAACTGACCCAGTGACCCACATAAGAGTGAGCTGAAAAAAACTGGATGTTTTTGGTTGCTTTAAGCCCCAAATACAACAAACACTAATAGACAAAATGAATAAATTGCTTACATCTCCTTGGACGGTATCTTTCACTGTTACACAAATATCATTTCAAGTATCTTCCTTACATGGTTATTAGAAGATTAAGTAAGATAAGGCTTGCGAGTTGCTTAGCACGGTCCTAGCCACAGGCCGTGAGGGCTTAATTCAATGTTTCCCTTGTAAGTCAAAACTCTAGTATTTGCCCAAGAACATATAAATTTTCTTTGAATTTACTTCAAATAATATAGGCTACTGTTGGGGAATTCAACACCAGTAACATACACATATATAGAAGTGACATTGCCCCATTTGTTAGGAAATGGAAAGACTTGGAAAAAATTATATTAAGTGAAGTAAGCCAGGCCCAAAGAAACATAGGTCCCATGGTTTCCCTATTTGTAATAACTAGTATATGTCTGAGACAAGCAGAAAAGGTCAGATAAGTTGATGTTAGGGAAATGAACCCTAAGATATGTATTCAAATGTTTTTTTCTTTCATGCGATTGTTTCTAACATATTTATAAGATGATTTCTTTGTTGTTTTGTCTGTCCCTTCCCCACGGTATAAAGCTTTCACTGTATTTGATGTTTGTATAATTTGTGGAGGGGCAGGGAAAAAACAAAGCGTTTAAATAGGGATACAGGTGGACCCATTGCAACAATGAGATGTACAAGTCGTTATGTTGAAAATGAACTTTATAACTTTGGTGGGGGGAGAAGGGGGGAGGAGGATTGGGTGGGAGGGCGGGGGGAGGATGGGAAGGGATGGGAAGGGGAGAGAGGTGGCTGCAATGCTTTATAAGAAATGTACTCATTATCTTGCCCATGTAATTGTAACCCCTCTGTAAAGTATTTTCACAATAAAAAAAAGTGAAGTATCAAGATGAAGAACAATAGGTTCTTAACAAGGCCCCTGTGTGGATCAAACTTAAGTCAGAAGGAAATTAAATTATATTGAGTAGCTCGTAGGCAGTCCAGGAATTTATCGATGTTGTTTTGTTCATTTCTTATACTAATTCTAAAATTCTGCCATCATAGATACAGGAATGAGTTGAGAAATAAATAGCTTTTTGCCCAGCATCCCATAGCTAATAACGAACATAGCAAGAAGAAGTAGTGGCCATTTCTCACGCCATCCCTGAGGGTGTTTCTCCGTGTTTCTTGGATGGCTTGGGATGTCATTACAACATCCAGTCACAAGATAACTAAATGTCCAGTATGCACAGGAGAAGTAAGATGAAGAAAGCCTACCTTTCACACTTGCTTGGTGGTCTGTTTTAAGGTATTCTGGGGAGTTGCCAAGGATAAGTAAGGGTAAGGACCTTGTGTGACATTAAGAACCCCCTTTGGGTTGAAGACAAAGTCTCCAACACCTTACTTTAGCCACACTACATCTCAAGAAGAGGAAGTTCAGCCTGCCACAGCCGTTCCTCCCCAGGTCTGTGGCCACAGCTCACAGGAAACCAGAACTAAAAGGCCATCTGCGCCGGCCTCTGCAGAAGGACATGCTAGACTCTGGACCAGTTCAGTCCCCCTCCTCTTGCCTTCCAGGCCACCGGCATCTTGACTTCTCCCTGATGTCGCCCCAGGCCCTCTCCCAGGACTTCTCCTGACACGTCTCCAGCTGGCCAGGTAAACTAACTGTGCAGCATCTCGTGGTTATAAGTGATCATTAGGAAAGAGCTCCACATCAAGTGAAAACAGCCTTCCTATAAAGAAATGAGGGGCCTTGTAGCTCATCAACTGAAGAAAAAAAAAAAAGCTGGTTGCCTTAGCCCCGTTTTTTAAGGATTCCTTCATTCCTTTCCTACTGGGAAAAGGAATCAAGGTGGCTAGCCAGAAAGAATGAGCAGGTTAAATGTGTTCAACCTAATCTTGGACCCCCTACTAAAGTCAAGAGACCGACTCTGAGCACTAGGACAGGCTCCTCGCAAGGCAGCCTCAATTCAAAATGGGTCATTCAAAGAAGTTAACTTCTAGAGCCTCCGTGGAAGTTTAGCTTTGCTAGTTTCCAAATCAGTACGATTTTCTCTCGAGTTTAACAAAGAAGATGTAGGCTTTGGAGCCATGCAGGCATTGTGCCCCAGCTCCTGTGGTTGAGGAGCTCAAGAGCGAGATGAAAGCCAGGATCAAACACTTACCCTTGAACTGTGCCAGGAGCTCTCTCTTCCAGGTTTTTCCTCTCAGTTAGAACAAACAAATAATAAGCTGCAGTGAGAGAGAAAAGAGAAAAGTGCCATCAAAGCCCAGACCATTTAATTTCGAACAATGCTGATGGGATTGCACATTGCTGATGTCCACTTGATTTCATTTTATTTTTTACAAATGCCCTTTGATTTTTCAATCTTTGTCTGCACGGTGGCCCAGTGCTTCCAAGGGTAGTGACTCTTCAGATTCTCAGGAGACAAACCATAGGATAAAGAATGCCAAGGCCTGCCAGAGAAATGGCAAAGTTTCAGAAATCCTCTGATGAGCCTCAGATAAAATATGCCCTAGAGAAGCAGGAAGGGCAAGTTGCACTGATTTAATGTTGGCTCTTGCCAGCCAGCCTGGTACATTAACTCAATCCTTCCACCCACCCTTGAGGGCAGGGTGTCCCTTGCCATGGTTCACCCATGCAGAGGTTGACTGGCTGAAGAAGCACCATCCAGGTTTTTCCAACCCTAGGGGATTCACTAACAAAATTCAAAACGAAATTGCCTTTTGCCTGGGACTGACTGGTATGAATGGTGAACCCTGTTGGCAGTTCCACAGAATTCACCCTTGAATCCACTCTCGGGGTGATCTAATGGCCCCAGACATCTGCATGAATGGCAGTGCTTCTGATTCTTCCCCCCAGGGAGTCCTCTCAGATGACTCCAGGAACAAGGCCACTCTGCAAACAAAGGCTAAAGCTTTCTGTGCCATCTGGACAGCTCTGGCCTCAACATCAGGGGACTCTAATGTCTAGCGCACTTGGTCCTAAGTCAGGTGCACTCTTGGAAAGACTATGGGAGTTGATCCTTGCCTAAGAGGGTCAGGATCCCAATTCTGCCACTTGGACAGAACTGCCTCTTCTCTCCTATCCTTAATTCCTGCCGCCATAGAATAGGACAATAGTGTCACCTAAGGCCTATACAAATAATTAGACTTAATACTGTATTTGCATTAAATGTGCTATAGTATGTACTTGATGTATACATCGAGTAAATATTACTTTCATTCTCTATTATTTCCATTTCCTCACCCAAATCAGTTCTGACTTTATTCATAAAACAGGCCCACAGTCAGCATGGCTTTCGCTAATCTACATCAAGGTACTCATATTTTATTTGAATAATCCCACTAGAGAATAAAAGCATACTACCTTTGCCTAGGCTTGTTCATACTACAAAGCATTTGACTATATGTTTTCTTCCTTAATGACTTTAGCACCTTAAGGAAGTAGGTAGGCTGCATGTTACATCTGCCAAAAGAGAGAAACTGAGGCCCAGAGACATTGACCAGGTGGAGAGATGGTGAAATGGAAAGAGAAAATGCTCTGAGCTCAGCTAAAAAGTGGTGCAGGAATCCAGTGTGTGTCGGGCGAGGCTTTGTATAATGGCTTGACCTCTCTGATCTCCAGTTAGCTGTTTTTGGTGTTGCAAAATTTGAAACTGTGAAAATTAACATACTTTGTGAGTATCTATCTCATTGTCAGCAAATGCACATAGTGTTTCTGACACTATGATTGGCTGTAGTGCCATACAGAGTGATACCCAAGGTCAGAGGGTACCAGAGACCTGGAGTATCCTACTCAGAATCCAACTCCATTCATAGAGCATTCACATCCCCCACCCGTCCCAGCCCCACAAACAACCATCAAGGTCCACGAAGGTCAAAGCCTACAGAGTTCCTCCAGACCCACTACCCCTCCTAGCAGGAGACAGACTAGACGTTGGAAAGAATTAAATTATTAAGAACAGAGATAAGCACTTGAATCTAATTGTATTTAAGATGTTTAATAGATTGAACCCAAATGGCTAGAGATTTTGCAAAGTAAGTGATGGGGGGAGGGGAGGAGGGGAGAGACGAGAAGCTTCAGATGAGTATCTCAAAAGAAAAACGATGAAAAATGGAAATGGGGTGGGGGACCTATTGCAGGGCAACTCTTGTGCTTTTTATCTATTTTTTGTTACTTTCCTGACAGAACACTTTGAGAATAATTATTCAGATTATTTTAACCATGTCCTCCACTAATGATTTGTACAGCTGTGCGTGGGCTGCTGTGTATCAGACAGACAATGAATACTCAGTTTTCTGTGTTTGCTACATGTACTTATTCTTACTTTACAGAAGAGGACACTAGGATCCTGAGAGACTCCAGTCTGTCTCTGAAACTCAGTCAGGGGGTGAAAGGATATGACAGGAATGACCTTGAATTCTAACTTCTTGTTTGGCACTGGGTGTGTCTAACATCACAGCCAAACCACACTTCCTCTTTCTATTTTTATTTTATACCTCTAAATTAACAAAATTTATGTGTATATGTTTGGGGGTGTGTGAAAAGCCATGTTGTAACTTGGGAATTCAATGTGGAATAATTAAAGCAAGCCAATTAACATGCATCCTCTCAAATACTTAATTTTGTAGTGAGAACATTTGAAATACATTCTATTAGTGCTTTGTTTTAGTTTAATATGTTTAAGTAGTTGTCCAAAGGGGCTTCAATTCAACACAATGCTTCCTTCAGGATGTTCAGATGCGAGGGAGCACAAGCAGCTGTCCCATTCTATCATTTTGGCCTTTACATATATCTGTACAGACTTTGTTCAAGTATGCTCAGGTCATAAGTTCCAGGGATCAGCATGCTTACTCAGTGGACACACATTTACATGGGATACCAAACTGCTATATTTTGTTTGGAGAACACAGTGTCAGAAGTCACACCACCATTGCAAGAGGTGGATTGCTGAACTGATAATTGGCTTATTTCTTGGCTGAGGGGGTGATTGGCTGATGTCTGGGCTGAGGTAGTGATTGGCTGATGTCTGGGATAAGGTGGTGGGTGATTGGCTGCTGTCTGGGCTGAGGTGGTGATTGGCTGCTGTCTGGGCTGAGGTGGTGATTGGCTGATGTCTTGGCTGAGGGGTGATTGACTGAGGTCTAGGCAGGCCCTAGGAGTTGTTCTGCTCCGTGACAACTGATAGATGCCTATAGATGCTCTAGGTCCACCAAAGCCACATCCAGGCTTAAGGTTCCCCTGGTCAATCTCATCTCTCCAGGCAGTCTTTTGTAGGACACCTCTACACTCTCCCTATCCCACACTCTTACATCTATTCCTGAGTTCTTCTTCCTCTCTAGCCCATCCATCTTTGAGAAATGAATTGTCTGGGTTTGAAGTCACAATTGTTATTAGGAGCAGGATTTTAGGCAAAACCTCACTTTATCCTTGTTCCAATGTGACTGTGGTAACCACTAGTATTTGTGGTGAGGAAAGAAATACGATATAGAAAAACTGTACATATAATGTCTAACAATGATTAAGCTCAAAGTAAACGATGTCTACCATTACTTCTGTTAGTATTACTACCATGACTTTATTGCAGACAATTGTTCCTTAGATCATTGACCTTTAATCCTATTGAAAAATATTAACCTGTCAAGCACCAATGGCTCATGCCCATGATCCTAGCTACTCAGAATGTTGAAATCAAAGGACTGCAGTTCAAAACCAGCCCAAGTAGGAAAGGCCAGGAGACTATCATCTCCAATTAACTACCAAAAGATAAAAACAGAAATGGAGCTGTGACTCAAGTGGTAGAGTACTAGCCTTGAGCAAAAATGCTTAGGGACAGAACCTAGGCCCTGAGTTTAAGCCCCATGAATGGCACCAAAAGAAAATTAACCTAAATATATTCTATTTTAAGATGATTTCTACACAAAGTTAATCTCATCATAATTGTATTAAACTTTATTATTTATCAGTAGTGTCTTGCAGTTCCTCACATACACTGACCCTCTGAAATGTTTAAGATTGAATGGAAAAGGCACAGAGAAATTTCTTTGGAATACTCCCCTTATAAATTTCAAATTCACAGGATCCTTCATGATAAAAATACACACAAATGACTCGATAACTATCTCAGCTATGTTTTCATAACAGTTGAATATTTACAAGATCCTTTCATTTCCATCAGATTCTTTGGTCTACAAAATAATCCCATGAACAAATAATGGTAACCACCAGTGCCCTAATGTTTCAGGTCAGATCATGGAGTTTGGGGCATCAAGACTTGTCTCATGTCTTACCAGAGGAGCCTAAATAAAAGTGGTAGTAAAGAATAGCTAGTTATAGAGGAAGAAGCTTAATTCTAATGTAGGGTTCTGAAGGTACTTTCAGTCACACACAAAGAGACAGTCTCATCTGTTTGCTGGACAGATTTGCCTCTCACTGAACAAAATGACAGAATTGTCCCATATAGAAAGATCTGGGTCATTTGGATTGCTGCCCTACAATGAAATCTAAATGAAGCAAAATGTCTTTACATAGGGTTCTGATACATGGTGAAAGCCATTATTGTTATTATTATTATGACTGTTATAAATTGCATTACTCTCAGTTCAGTATTAATTAGATTACCTGAGCCATTATGCCTCCACTTGGGGTATTC